TCCTTGCTGTCAGCTATAAGGTCAACACCCAGTAGCAATGAGCACACCTAGTACACAGATCTTGGATTCTAATACCATTCTCCAATAAAAGGAAATCGGGCTCCTGGGAGACATAGTTGATTCCAGAGCTAGGGCAGGAAATATACAGGATAAGCCTCAAGCATCTTGTGTGCCAGAAAGTAAGGAAGTACTGGGGAAAAAAATTCCACAATGATGATAGTATGCCAAAGAGACATGGGGGCCAACTGAAAGAGCTCTCAATGGACAAAGATGAAACAATTTGAATATCAAAATAAAGTAGTAATGAATTATAAGCAGAAGTATAAAATAAATACCACGAGTCCATACTGATAAAAAAAAATGATTGATTAAATAAATAAATGAGGGAGAAGAGAAAAATCTCTGGTACAGAAAAATTCTAAATAATTTATGTAGATATTGTGCCTACAAGGAGAGGGAGCATAATTCCCTACTCTTTGGGTATAGGCTGTGCACAGTGATTTCCTTTCAAAGAATACAGTATGCAAAGGGGAAAAAGGTAACTATGCAGAGGACAGACCTGACACATGCTACTTCAGCCAGGTGATCAAAGTCAGCATAAAAGTCATAAACCATGGTGATAGTACATACCCTTGATACAATGTGATGAAAATGGTAATTTATTTCTGTGGTTTTCCTCTCCCAAACACATAACCCCAGTCTAATCACAAGAAAAACTTCAGACAAATACCAACTGAGGCACATTCTACAAAATACGTGACCAGTACTCATCAAAATTGTCTAAGTCACCAAAAACAAGGAAAGTCTGAAAAACTGTCAGAGCCAAGAGGAGACAGGACTATTAACTATAATATGGTATGCTTAATGGGATCCTGGAACAAGGACCTTAGGTAAAAACTAAGGCGATCAGAATAAAATATGGACTTTATTTAAGATGTTAATAATAGAGGGTGAAATATGTATAAAAATAATATATAAATTGCTAATAAGGGTCATCTCCAAGCACACGGGAGATAATAAACTGCTTGAATATTTGAACTTTTAACAAGTCAATATTTTTGGGGCCGGCCCGGTGGCACACTGCTACAGTGCGCTGCTTGGGAGTGCGGCGGCGCTCCCGCCGAGGGTTCGGATCCCACATACAGACTGGTTCCCGCTCACTGGCTGAGCGAGGGGCAGGCGCAGCACCGAGGGTAGCGATCCCGTTGCCGGTCCGGTACGGGCGCGACACTGAGGGTTGCGGTCCGTTGCCGGACATGAAAAAAGACAAAAAGGAAAACAAAAAAGCAAAAAAACAAGTCAATATTTTTGGTAAAGAAAAGAGATTTTTTTTAGAAGAGAATAAAGCAAAGTAGAGAAAGTTAAGGTCTAACTGGAAAAAGTCATTTTCTAGCGTTTTTCTAAGGAAAAAGTAACAACTGAATTTCAGTCTCAAGTTTTCAGTCATCATCAATTTAGATAGTTGCTTCATAGGCCCTGAAGGAAATGGCCTTCAAATATTTTTTTTAATTTTTAAAATTTCTATTGTTTATTCACTTGAATCAGGCATTTCCAAATCTTAAAATGTTGGCCATACCACAAGCTAGAATTTACCCAGCACAGTAAAAACTCACTACATGGGCCGGCCCGGTGGCGCACTGGATAAGTGCGCCGCTTGGGAAGTGCGGCGGCGCTCCCGCCCGAGGGTTCGGATCCCACATACAGACCGGTTCCCACTCACTGGCTGAGCGAGGCGCGGGGGCAACACCGAGGGTTGCAATCCCGTTCGCGGTCCCCGGTCCGGTACGGGGGCAACACTGAGGGTTGCGATCCGTTGCCGGACACGGAAAAAGACAAAAGACAAAAAAAAAAAAAAAAAAAAAAAAAAAAAAAAAAAAAAAAAAAAAAAAAAAAAAAACCTCACTACAATGCCACCAGGACCACATTTTTGAGGAGCATCAATGGCAGCAAGAAGTATCTGGAATTTTCTGTAATAAACTCCCTGAATGGGGGCTATACAAAGAAATAGCTCACTTTAAATTCTCCCCTTTAGAAGGTAATGCCATAGCATGACTCTAGCTTATAATTTTATGAGTTAATGAATACTCACTTAAAATTTCTAATATATTCTGCCACTATCTCTGGGTACAAAGCGATCTAGATAAAAATTAGAATAGTTCGTCATTTAGAAGTCCAGTCATGTGTCACTTAACAACAAGGAAACATTCAGAGAAATCCGTCGTTAGGCAACTTTGTTACTATGCAAACATCATAGAATATACCTACACAAACAGAGATGGTATAGCCTACTACACACCTAGGCTATATGGCATAACCTATGGCTCCTAGGCTACACACCTGTACAGAATGTTATTGTACTTAATACAGTAGGCAACTGTAACACAATAGAAAATATTTGTGTACCTAAATGTATCTAAACATAAAAAAGGTATGGTAAAAATACATAGAAAAGATAAAAAATAGGGGGCCGGCCCCTGGCTTACTCGGGAGAGTGCGGTACTGATAACACCAAGGCCATAGGTTCAGATCCCATATAGGGATGGCCAGTTAGCTCATTGGGTGAATGTGGTGCTGACAACACCAAGTCAAGGGTTAAGATCCCCTTACCGGTCATCTTTAAAAAAAAAAAAAAAAAGATAAAAAATAGTATACCTGTATAGGGTACTTATCATGAATGGAGCTTGCAGGACTGGAAATTGCTGGGTGAGCCGGTGAGTGAGGTGAAAGCCTAGAATATTACTGTACACTACTGTAGACTTCATAAACACTGTATGTACACTTAGCCTACACTAAATTTATAAACATTTTTCTTTCTTTAATAATTAACCTTAGCTTACTGTAACTTTACAAACTTAAATTTTAACTTTCTGACTCTTTTGCAATAACACTTAACTTAAAACACATTGCACAGCTGTAAAAAAATATTTTTTCTTTACATCCTTATTCTATAAGCTTTTTTCTATTTAAAAAAATTATTTTTAAACTTTTAAACTTTTTGTTAAAAACTAAGACACACACATACATTTGCCTAGGCCTACACAGGGTCAGGATCATCAATATCACTGTCTTCTACCTCCACTGGCAATTCTTCGGGGGCAATAACACACATGGAGCTGTCATTTCCTATGATAGTGATGCCTTCTTCTGGAATACTTCCTGAAGGACCTGCCTCAGGCTATTTTACAGTTTTTTGTTTTTTTTTTTTCTTTAATAAGAAGGAAGGGCTGGCTGGTAAGTTCACTTGGTTAGAGTGCCATGTTATAACACCAAGGTCAAGGGTTCGGACCCTTTATCAGCGAGCCACCAAAAAAAAGTTAAAAAAATAAGTAGAAGGAGGACACTTTAAAATAACAATAAAAAAGAATAGTAGATACATACACCAGTAACAGCTGTTTATTATCAAGTGTTATGTACTGTACATAATTGTATGTGGCATACTTTTATATGACTGGCACTACAGTAGGTTAGTGTATACTACCATCACCATGAACATGTAAGTAATGTGTTGTGCTACTACATTACAAAGGCTACAATGTCTCTAGGTGGTAGCAATTTTTCAGTTCCATTATAATCTTCTGGGGCCACTGTTGAATATGCAGTCTCTCACTGACTAAATCATCGTTACGTGGCACATGAGTGTAATTTTTTTTTTGATGCATAAACCAGAAGTCCATATATTAATTTGCAAGAAGAAAGTATTATTTGCAAGCCAATTTAATTTGCAAAACAGACCAGAACACTCACATCAAATCAATGCATTTTCTTTCTCTCTCCGAGTATGTCACATGGGAAGCCAAGTATCAGAGCGTGGCCTCATAGGCCTGGAATCAGGGTAAGGGGTATGAAGCAGTCTCAAAAAAGACCTATCAGTAAGCTTAGACACTCTACTCACTTTAGCTGTGTTTCTCTGTCCTGACTGCCCATTAGAATCACCTGGGGAGATTTTTTTTTTTTTTTAACTACTCATACCTGGGACCTACCCAGATTCTAATTCAGTTGGTCTGTGATAAAGCCCAAATAGGATCCTATTTTAAAAGCTACTGAGGCAATTCTATTGTGCAGCAAAGGGCTTGCCAAGGAAATCATGATGTTTGTATTTTTAGCTAAGACTCCTCACCCCAGGACAGTGGTGACTGTAATTTTTTAAAAGATGATTCATATTCATTTAAGGAGCTATTTATAGTATTATTTTACTATTTAAAGTATTATTTCAGAGCATAATGTTAAAGAGCATAACAGATTCTAGTGAATTAGCAAATGGTATTCACTAGAATCTGTTCTATAATCAGCAAATGGTATTAAACAATTTGTTAGCACCAAACAAAACTGGGCAGCAACACATACCAGTGCATGCTCTCCCTGATGTAGCAGTAGGGACAGTAAGTACAGCAAATTTAAAACTGTCTATCAGAAAATGAAAGATCACAGAGATGGCTAGTCCTCTCCTCTCCTCTAACTGAAGATGGGAGACAAATCACAATAAAAAAAATCCTCTGGAACTACCCAAGTGCAGGTTCAATTTAGACATCACTATCACCATCGGTTACCGGATTTAAAACAACATCACTGTCAGTCTCAATGAACTCTGAGCAGATCACTGACTTTTCCTGAAGGAAATGAAGTGGTGGGAGAGGGCAGGAAGTTCACATGCATCTCTAATAGCTTATTTCCTTTCCCTTCACGTCTTGCGGAATTAGCCCTGGATTAAGAGAACCATGCTATATTTTTGTAAGGCTCTGCCAGCATCCATTTTTATTAGAGTAATAAAGGCGTTGTTTACAGAGCAGCAGGGAATGAGCTTACAACCCTGACTGCCCAGTTAGCTCAGTCGGTTAGAGCAGTGTTGTAATACCAAGGTCAAGGGTTCGGATCCCCTGTACCCGCCAGCTGCCAAAATAAACAAAACAAACAAACAAACAAACAAAAAAACCAACAGAGAGAGAGAGCTTATAGCACTGAAACATCAGGTTAAGGTGAAATATCAACTTGACCCTACTTACAAGAGTTGTGCCGACGACGGAAACTTTTGGACTGACTCAAGGATTCCATGTGCCTGTCCACATAGCTCTTTGAACACTGTTGCTGCTGGGGGGAAACAGCAACATCTTGGCTCTTCACATCTGTCCTCTTAGGGATGTTCTGAGGGGCACTGCTGGAAGAGGTTGGCTTCTTGACCAACTTGCCTGTGCCATTCTGATTGATACCCACTTGGTACCCAACACCACAGGGGCCTACTTCTGTCTGATGAAGGTCTCCAAAATGTTGGTTGTCTCCAGGACCTGGTATCTCCAGAATTTTTAATTCCGTAATGTCACCTGCCCTGAAATACACAAAAGAATACAAGTCTCAATATTGTAACAGTGATAAGAATGATGAAAATGGGATCAATAGCTAATAGCTCCCCCTTTGCAGAACTGCATTTCAATGAGTTATCAGAGGCAAAAACTAGGAAAGATGGCAGAGCACTTAAAGACAGGGATCAGCCACCAACATTCAACTGACACAGCAGTGGCCTTTAAAAAAAGACTACTGTTGGGCCGGCCCAGTGGCGCACTGGAGAGTGCGCCGCTTGGGAGCGCCGTGGCGCTCCCGCTGAGGGTTCGGATCCCATGTGGAGACCGGTTCCCGCTCACTGGCTGAGCGTGGTGAGGGCGCAACACCGAGGGTTGAGATCCCATTGCCGGTCCCCGGTGTGGGCGTGACACCAAGGGTTGCGATCCCGTTGCCGGTCAATAAAAAAGACAAAAAGGAAAAAAAAAAAAGACTACTGTTAATAAAAAAACCATATTATCATCTGAGATTTTCAGAATATTTAATGGCTTTTTTCATTCATTCACTCACTTGCTCATTAAACAGGCATACATAGGGTACTTACTTATAATGTTGTAAGTCCTGTGCTAGGAACAGGATAAATACAGAAGAAAACCAATATATGCCCACAAGGAACTCACAGCATGGTCAGAAAAAAAGACAAGTACAGAATCAAGCAACGGTTTTAAATACTATGACAGAGGTATATACAGGGGACTGAAGAACCCAAAAGCAAAACATCTAAGTTAATTTGCTGGAGGTGAATGCAATACTTAAGTCGGGGCTGGATGGGGCAGGGGGGTGGCCAATAAGAGTTAGCTATGCCAAGTAGAGGATGGTAAGAGGGAGAAGGGCATTTCAGGCAGAGGCTCAGAGATTGAGAAACATGGAAAATGCTGTCCATGTGAGGAACTGCAAATGTTATAACATTACTAAAGGGAAGGATGCTTGTGCAGGGCCATCAGAAAGTAAGGCTGCAGAGGTAACCAAGGGCCAGATCATGATCACAACAGATTTTTCTGGTGACTGTACAAAATGTGGAGAAACCAGAGTCAGGGCACCTAGTTAGGAGACCAAGCAAGAAGTAAGGGGATGAACTGGGCAACTGACAATGAAAAGGGAAAAGGGAGAACGTACCAAGAGACATTTAGAATCCACAGGATTTGGTGACTAAGTGAATATGTTAAGGCTTAAAGAGAAAGAAGAGTTTATTATGATTCCTAAGTTTCTAACTTGGGTAAAGGGTGTTAATGGGTAGACCTCTGGAAGAATAAATCTGCAGGTAAACTTAATGAGTTCAGCTCTGAAAATCCTGAATTTAAAATATTCCATGGGATATCCAATGGCAATGACCAATAAATAGTTAAAGTGTCTGGAGCTCATACAATGTGCCTAAATTAAATGTATAAGAAGGTACACATGAGATTGTCTAGAGAATACAGACTGAGAAAAGAACCAAAGCTAGAACTTGAGTAAACCAATCTTAAGAGGTGAGCAGAAGAAACAAAAGCTAAAAACAAAATAAGATGTAAAGGAATGGAAGAATGCATGAAATACACTGGAAAGAAAACCCAAACAGGTGACAGAGAAACTAAGAGAAATGGGCAATTCAAAAGTTACAGTCATTCACATAAGATTAGAATTGAGACACTGCCACTGAACTTGGCAATTACATCATTTGAAACATTGGCAAGAGCTAATTCAGCAAGATGATAAAGTTAGAAAAAAGATAATAATGATGGGGTAAGGAGGGACTAGAGAATAAAGCCACAAAAGGAGGTGAAGACAGACTATTTTGCTCTGAAAAGCGTTGTTGGTATAAAGGAAAAGGAAATGAAAGGACGATACTTAGTGGCAAAAGCAAGGTTGGAGGAAGAGAGGTGTTTTTAATATGGGGAAGACATGAGAATGTTGGAATGCAAAGAGGAAAGAAGCAATATAAAGGCTGAAACTGAAGACACAAAAGAGATGAATAAGGTCTCAAAAGAGGTAGAAAGAGACAGCATCTAAAGCATACACGATAAGGTTAGCCCCGAACACAAGGGGTACTTCTACTGAGACTGCAGTGAAGGTAAGCAATGAGTATGGGTATACTCACAGAAAAGGTTATGTATGGTTATGTGTACAGAGGGAATTGTTCAGAAAATCAAGGAAGCTCTTACCCAACAGACTCTTTTTTCTTTTTTTGTACATAAAAATAAGAAGCTATCTGCCAAACTGGTAAAAAAGGGAATGTGAAGACACAAATGAACTTGAGATATGTTGGCAAATACTAAGAAAAAGACTATCCTGTAACTAAGGATTTTAGTTATTGGCTAGAGTGTGCTTCTGGGGGTAAATTATAATACAAATCTACAAAGAGAGACACATTTATGCAGGAGAAAAAATTAATAAGGTCCTTAGATGTGAGAAAGCACAAATAATACAAAACTGAGAAAGAAAATCTGAAACTACAAAAGAAAAAAAGGAGAGGTTATTCTGAACTTGACCTATTTAAATAATATAATATTGCATGCTTAACAGAAATAAGAAAAAGGTTTCACAAACCCTGGATCATTAGCTGAAAGCTAATTACAACACAAAGTCTCTGCTGAGAACAGCAGCTGGAATGTAAGACTTAAGACTACAAAATCTCACACTTGATAAGTCTCTTCTCAAAAATAGCTCTATGCAAGAGAATACTGGCAATGAGACCTAGGCTCAAGCTCTGCAGACCACCAGGCTGGACTGGAAGAATGAGTCAGAACACTCACCTGAAGGTGACTTCTGGAACAAGACACTTCACTCCATTGTGGAAAGGCCGGGTGAGAGAAATGGTTTGACTGACCTGATCCACTGCTGACACTCTTCCCTGATAGACACCCAAGCTATCTCCACAGTTGATGGACACAATACTGCCTAGCCAGTCCGCAGCCATGTTTCAGATGTGAAATCACTGTGAAGAGAAGGAACCATTTAGTGTACCTTAAACAGACAAATCTTTAATCAAATTCAGAAATATTATGTTAAGCTCTGTACCAAGCGTTACTTAATAATAATACATATTCTGCCACATCTTTAACTGAGGTAATAAAGAATAACAACAAATTAAAACTTCTTTCAGTAGTAGTATTCATTTTAATACACAAGCAATATCATTTAATATATATAAAGATCCTGTAATTGCTTTGAAGCATGTGCATTGGATAAAGATATTTACCAAACATCAAATCATACAAACTATAACCTGTATATTGTATTTTAATAAATCTATCATCAAAGTACTTTCAAAGAGAATATGTTGCCAAGAAATAATACATATATAAAAATATTGGTAATGCCACAGTAGCTCACAGCAGATTAACCCTCTTGCTGATGATAACAATAAATTCTGGACAAAATTATTTCATAAAAAGAGCCAACTGAAGACATTATAGGACACTACACCTAACAACTACAGAATATACATTCTTTCCAAATCTACACGGAATGTTCACCATCATATGCTGGGCCTTAAACAAGTATGAATAAATTTCAAAGAACTGAAATCACACAAAGCATATTCTCTATCCACAACAGAATTAAATTTAAAATTGATAATGGTAAGACATTTAGAATATTCCCAAATATTTGGAAATTAAACAAGACATTTTTTTTTCCTTTTTGTCTTTTTTCGTGACCGGCAACGGATCGCAACCCTCAGTGTCGCGCCCGTACCGGACCGGGACCGGCTACGGGATCGCAACCCTCGGTGTTGCTCCCGCACCTCGTTCAGCCAGTGAGCGGCCGGTCTGTATGTGGGATCCGAACCCTCGGCGGGAGCGCCGCCGCGCTTCCCAAGCGGTGCACTGTAGCAGTGCGCCACCGGGCCGGCCCTAAACAAGACATTTTAAAATAACCTATGGGTCAAAGAAGAAAACAAAAGTTAGAAAATAGTACAAACTCAATGATAATGACAATACAACATATCGGCATTTGTGGGATGTGCTTAAAACAGTGGGGACATTTATAGCTTCAAATGGGGACATTTGTAGCTTTAAATGCTTATATTAGAAAAGAAAGGTTTAAAACCAATGATCTAAGCTTCCATCTTAAGAAGCTAGGGAAAAAGAGCAAATTAACACAAAGTTAATAGAAAGGAAATAGCAGAAATCAATGAAATCAGAAACAATTAAGAAAAATAAACAAAACCAAAAACTAGCTCTTTGAAAATATTAATAAAGTTGATAAACCCTTAACTAATCAAGAAAAAAGATAAAACATATTAACAATATTAGGAATGAAAAAGGGAACATCACAGACATTAAAAAGATAACTATATGCCAGTAAGTTTGACAACTTAGATAAAATGAACAAATTCTTTGAAAGACAAAAGTTATCAAAACTGATACAAGAAATGGAAAATCTGGATGTTCTATGTCTATTTTCAAAACTGAATTTGTCAAGAGAATGAGACAAACCACAGGTTGGGAGAAAATATTTGCAAGAGACATATCTGATAAAGGACTGTTATCCAAAATATACAAAGGACTGTTATCCAAAATATACAAAGAACTCTTAAAACTCAACAATATGAAAACAAACAACCCAATTAAAAAATGGGCATAAGACTTGAACAGACACCTCACCAAAGAAGATACACACATAACAAGTGGCCATATGAAAAGATGCTCCATATCACATGTTATTAGGGAAATGCAAATTAACACAACAATGAGATGCTACTACACACCCATTACAATGGCCAAGATCCAAAACTCTTACCAACACCAAAAGCTGATGAGGATGTGGAGCAACAGAAACCTGCATTCACTGCTGGTAGAAATGCAAAATGATACAGCCACTCTGAAAGACAATTTGGCAGTTTCTTACAAAACTAAATATACCATATGATCCAGCAACTGCACTCCTTGGTACTCACCTAAATGAACTGAAAACTTACATCAACACAAGAACCTGCACATGGATGTTTATAGTAGCTTTATTCATAACTGCCAAAACTTGGAAGCAACCAAGATGTCCTTCAGTAGGTGAATGAGTAAACTGTGATATATACAGGCAATGGAGTGTTACTCAGTGCTAAAAAGAAAAGAGCTATCAAGACATGAAAAGACATGAGGGAGCTGGCCAGTTAGCTCACTTGGGAGAGCATGGTGCTGGTAATACCAAGGTAACGGGTGCAGATCCCCGTACCAGCCAGCTGCCAAAGAGAGAAAGAGAGAAAGAGATAAAGAAAAGACATGAGGAACCTTAAATATTACTAAGTGAAAGAAACCAATCTGAAAATATGACAACTATATGACATTTTGGAAAAGGCAAACTATGGAGATAGTAAGAGGATCAATGGTTGCCAGGGATTAGGAGAGGAGGGATGAATAGGTGGAGCACAGAGAATTTTTAGGGGAGTGAAACTCTTCTGCGTGATTTTCTACAATGGTGGATACCTGTCATTTCAAAACCCATAGAATGTACAACACCAAGAGTGAACCCTAATATAAACTACTGACTCTGGATGATAATGATGCATCAACATAAGTTCATCAATTGTAACAAATGTACCACTCTGGTGTGAAATATTGAGAGTGGAAGTGCCTTGAGGGAGGTGGGAATATATGGGAACTCTCTACATTCTGCCAAATTTTGCCCCAAACCTAAAACTACTCTAAAAAATAGTCTATTTGGGGCAGAGCCCGTGGCGCACTCGGGAGAGTGCGGTGCTGGGAGCGCAGCAGCGCTCCCGCCGTGGGTTCGGATCCTATATAGGGATGACCGGTGCACTCACAGCGCTCACTGGCTGAGCGCAGTGCGGCCGGTCTCAAAAAAGGACAAAAAAAAAAAAAGTCTATTTGAAAGAAAACACATACTGAATATGTAACTTAAAACCTTCCCACCAAAAACAAAACAAAACAAAAAACTCCAAGCCAACATGGCTTTACTGTTTAATTTCACCAAACATTTAAGGAAGAAGTAATGCCAAAATCATATGGACTTTTAGAAAATACAACAGAATGAAACACTTCCCAAAGTGTTCAACAAGGCCAGCATAATCGTAATGTGATATTATGATATATATACATTGGTCTTCATCCACAGTTCCTGGCTTATAACTCCCATAGCCCTTGATATTTCCTAAGTGACTACTCTCTGACCTTCTCCTGCCCTCCTTTTACCTGCTCCTTTTTCTCCCCAAGCCAGAATTCTAATCTTCTCCCGCCTTTCTCTCATGGAGCTGACCATAAAAAAAATCAGAAGGGGTCCTGCATTGTACCCAGAGCAATAAACGCTACACAGAGAGGCCAAGAAGAATCTGTACAAACAGGCCTTGCTGGGTTTCCCCACTTGGTCTATTAGTATCAGATCGTACCCTTTTTGTCCAATCACATTTCTACATGGTTGTCTGTGCTTCAATCATGCCTACACAATGAAACTTCCATAAAAATCCAAAAAGATAGGGTTCAGGGAGCTTCTGGATAGCAGAACATGTGTAGGAGGTAACCGGAGAGTGGTGCGCCTGGGAAGAGCATGGAAGCTCCACGCCCCTTCCCCTATACATTTCTTCACCTGTATCCTTTGTAATATCCTTAATTATAAGGTAAACTAAGCGTTTCCCTGAGTTCTGTGAGCCACTCTAGCAAATTAATTGAACGCAAGGAGGGGGTCGTGGAAACTCTGATTTATAGCTAGTCAGTCAGCAGCACAGGTAAAACAACATGGGACTTGCAACTGGCATCTTTAGTTAGGGGCAGTCTCACGGTACTGAGTCCTCAACCTGTGGGATCTGGTGCTATCTCCAGGCAGACAGCGTCAGAATTGAATTGGAGGACACCCAGCTGGAGTCCACTCCAGAACTGACTGCATGCTGGTGGGGAGTAATCTCCACACATCTAGTGTCAGAAGCATGTTGTAAGAGTATAGTGAGAGAAACTGAGTTTTTTGTTTTTAACCCAGAAAGCCTCCCCAAAAAAGCATTATAAGAGAAAAGGAAAAAATAAAGATCAATGTCCTGTACAAATATAGACCAAAAACCCTCAACAAAATATTAACAAATCAAATCCGCCGATAAATTTTAGAAATATAATATATCATGATTATTTAGGTATTTATCCTGGAATGCAAGGTTGGTTTGATATTTTCAAAATCAATCAATTTTTAAATCATTTTACTTTAACAGAACAATTGAGAAAAAGCATGATCCATAAGAAAAAAACTGATCAACCGAACTGCTCGAAAATTAAAAACTTTTATTCTGCAAAAGACTTGTTAAAAGGATAAAAAAGACAGGCTACCAACTGGGAGAAAATATTTGCAAACCACATATCTGACAAAGACAAATGACTATTATCTAGAATATATAAAGAACTCTCAAAACTTAACCGTAAAAAACAAACTGATCCATCAAAAATCAGGCAAAAGTCATGAAAAGACATTTTACCAAAAAGTATTATACAGATGGCAAACACATAAAAAGTTGTTCAACATCATGAACTATTAGAGAAATACAAATTAAAACCACAATGAGATATCACTACATAACTTTAAAAACAGCTAAAATAAAAAATAGCGACAATATTGCATGCTAGCAAGGATGTAGAAAAACTGGATCACTCATAACATTACTAGTGGGAATATTACATGGAGCAGCTACTCTGGAAAACAATTTACCAGTTTATAAAAAAAAAAATCTAAGCATGCAACTACTATATGACTGAATAACTGCACTCTTGGTCACTTATCCCAGAGAAAAGCTTAAATTCACACACAAAAAAACCTATACACAAATGTTTATATCAGGTTACTCATAATAGCTGTAAACTGGAAACAATCCAGATGACCTTCGATGGTACTGTGGTACATAAATACCATGGGAAAAGAAGTGAAAAAAGCCAACTCCGAAAGGTTACATTCTGTATGATTCTATTTGTGTAACACTGTTAAAATAACAAAGCTATAGAAATG